AAGCCTCCAAATAGCAGCCCACCCAGATCCACCACCCTACCCTATTTGTGTGACCATGCATTTCCCGTAACCAACTCACCTAGCCTGCACATCCCTGGACACTATGGGCAATTTGGCATGGCCAATCTACTTAACCTGCACATCTTTGGACTGTGGGAGGAAACCAGTGCACCCGGAGGAAACCCACACAGACACACGGAGAATGTGCAAACTCCACACAGACAGTCGCCTGAGGCTGGAATCAAAACCAGGTCCCTGGTACTGTGAGGCGGCAGTACTAACCACTGAGCCAGCCTTTGTATCTGCTGTCCCTGTCCTTCTAGTTGGGTCAAAGTCACACATTTGGAAGAGAGCATTAACCAGGAATGGGACAACCTTCTGACTCAGAGGTGACAGTACCAGCCTCTGAAGCACAGGTACAGAGAGGTATATTACACTGGACAAGTAACTCAGAATTCAGGAGTCGAAGCCGGTCTTATCAAGTTAGATTTGATATTTCATTTCTGTCAACTGGTAGCAGGCAAAATATCTACAAAATCACACACTACCCAACTGGGTCATGAAAGTTCTCACTTGCGCTGCCCCATATTTACGATAGTCCAAACTATTAATGCGATAGGAGAGAAACCAGCAAAACAGGGCACTTATACAGTCAGAAATGGACACTAAACACTGTAATGTGAGCTGAAACATGCCAAAAGTAAATTTAAAGAGGGCATTCTGCTTCTGTACAGCTCTGTAAGGCTTTAGTAACCAGGAGAGATTTGGACTAAGAAGATTAGCATTCCACACTTTGTAAGGTATTCTAAAAGAGAAATACTGCCGATGCTTGAATTCTGAACTAGGAGCAAAAAAAGTTGCTGGAAAATCTCAATCTGCAAAGAGAAACAGAGTTTATTTTTAAGTTGATGACCTGTCATCACAGCAAAATTGAAAGGACATCAATCAGAAATGTAAACTCTGCTTCTCTCCATGATGCCACCTGACCTGTTGAGATTTCCTCCGTCAACTGTTGCTGTTGTTATGAAGTGTAAAACGTGGTGTCACGAGCGGTAGGCGAGGTGCTGAGCACAGATGCCTCTAAGGAGGAGCCAGATTAATGCGCACAGCAGAAAGGAAGGATATGCTGATAGGGAGAAATAAAAGGAGTGAGGAAGAGCGGAGGTAGCTCAGGTGCAGCATAAACATCAGCACTAAGCAGATGGACGCAACAGCCTGCTTTTGCTCTGGAAACTGCAGCCCTCAAAATGGAAAAACAGGAACTATAATGAACAGATTTCCTATTTACTTTTGCTGTCAGTGCCTGTGTTTTTTAATCTAACTGATCAGGGACTTCTCAGTGATTTTGTGCGGAGCTGGAGGAGTGGGAAGGTGAGCAAATATACACAAGCTGTGTTGGAAATGGTGTGGAGCTGAATTAACACTGGTACAGGCCATGCCAGGGTGACAACACTTTCACGGATCCCAAGGGACTTTGAGATGATCATCCGACCCATGCTACGTAGAAGACTTTTCCCAAATGGAGAGCAAATGGGAAACATGTAAAAGCACTCCCAAAACTCTTGTCGAAAGCCTTACTAATGCAGTGAGCAGCAACCATCGATGATTGCAGAGGATACTCTAATTCAACCTCTGAGATAGGGATTCGCATCAGTGTGGGCAAATTACAGTGCTAAAAGGATTACTTAAGGATAGAATAATCCTTCCACCGCCTCAGTGAATTGAAGCTCTCAAAAAGCATGCAGGTTCCAGGCCTGATTGAAAGCATCAGGTATTCAGTCTCAATATCTTCTCAAATCAGCAGCCTTCTCTGTATGTGTTAACACTAGCATATACCTGAGACCATATCCATTTAGAACTGCTGCAGTGCTACAGAACACTGACACCCCAGAGTACTGCAGCACTGAGAGACAGGTCGTGGGTCTATAACCACTGCTAAGCTGAGTTACCTCCCGACTTCCAAAAGCTGTCAACCATCTACAAGATACAATACACCCTTCTTGTCTGGATTAGTGATTCATTCATCAGTGGTCCCTCACAGATCAGGATGACTTTGTCCCACTCTCAGGGTGAGTCCGTAGGTGGCTGTACAAACCGATGCAGCTACCACAGGCTCTGTTACACAGTGGGGGCAGGTGGCGGTCGCAGGAGAGGCATTGGTGTGACAGCGCGCTCCTTATGCTGTTTTCGCCTTGCTTCCACTTTTTCCCCCGACAGCAAGTTTCAAGGTGCTCGACACCTATCTTCTTCCACTTTGGAAGGCCAGTGATTCCCAGGTGTCTGAGGGAATGGCGCACTTCGCCAGTGAGGCTTTGAGGCTATCTCTGAAGCACTTCCTCTGTCCACCTGGGGCTTCCCTGCTTTGGGAGTCTTGTGTTGGTCACGCGGACAACACGCCCAAACCATTGTAGCCAATCAGGGATGGTCAGTACCTCAATGCCAGGGACGTTGGCCTGGTCAAGGACGCAGGCATCGGTGCGTCTTTCTTCCCAGCGGATTCACAAGATCTTGCACAGGCAGCCTTGGTTCTGCTTCAACAACACTCAAGATCCTCAATTTCATCCAGGGCAAAGCAGGCCGCTTGTTTGGCATCTCATCCTTCACCTTCAACATCCACTCCCTCCATCTCTGACATTCAGTGGCAGCAGGGAGTACCATTAACTCACCCAACCTCCTCCGACAGCACCTTCCAATCTGATGACTCCTAACATCTGAATTTCATGCCACTTTTCTACCCATTCAACCAGCCTGTCTATGCCCTTTCAAAGTTTTACGCTATGGTCCCCACAGTTCTTAAAGGTTCCAAGTTTTGTAACATAAACAAATGTTGAAATTGTGCCCTGTGCACCTAGATCTGGATCAGTAATGCATGTCACGATGAGCAAGAATTCCCCACACCAACCCCTGGGGAACTCCACTACAAATATTTGTCCAGGCCGAAGGAAAATCTGTTAACCACTACTCCCCGTTCCCTGTCACAACTGGAGACCAAACAAGCATGGGCATTGTAAGAATGAGCTATGATGCCTTGTATGGTTGAACAGCCCATTGGTACACACTGCAGTCCTTAAATGAGGCGTAGCCCTTTGGAAGAGAGCCGTTTGCAGCACCAAGGGTCCCCAGCAGGATCTGCCACTGCCACTGCCACAGTGCGCAGAATCAGAAAAGATTTGGGATCAGCTGTACTTCAACTGAGACATGTTCACAGCTCCTAGTCAGAAGGTTGTGGGTCCCAGAGACTCAACCGCAAAATCTGGGTTGACACTCCGAGTACAGGACTGTGGGAGCACTACAGTGTCAGAAGTGCTATCATTCAGATGTAGTGTTAAACCAAGGCCAGACATGAAGGATCCCATGGCCACTAGTGGAAAAGCAGAGTGCAAGTCTACCCTGATGTCTTGGGAACCATATTTATCCAAAGGCAGAAAGAAACCATCACAGCCACCCATTGCATCATGCGATCTTGCTGCATGCAAATGGGTTGCCACATTCCAGTGTGACAGCAGAGACTGCATCCCATCAGCTGCAAAACAAGTTGGAGCGCCCTGCGGTCACAGGAAAAGGCGCTGTACAAATGCACGTTTTGTCTTTAAGGAAAGGCACACCTTTAAAGGACATGAAGGTCAGGAGACAAACTAGCTCCTCTGATGCTGCTTGGCCTGCTGTGTTCATTCAGCTCTACACCTTGTTGTCTCATACACACCGTGAACACAGTTTACACACAAAATTTCTTTGGAAACACTCCCGACCTGCAGTCCTCACCTTGGGAGTGGTTGCAAGGTAGGGGGATGGAGAAAATGCAGCATGCTAAACAGACAGCAAAATATTTAACGGGGGTGCCCCTCCAGCACTGGTGGGGAGAGGGGGAAGGGAGAAAGGGAGAGGACTGGGGATGAAGGGAAGGGGATTGGGGGGGCAGGAGGGGATGTGGGGATTGGGGGGGGTGTCCGAAGGAGGGGACGTGAGGGGTTGGCTAAGGAATGGGAAGTAAAGAGGAGGGGTGAAAGGAAGGGATCGGGGGCGAGGGGTGAAGGAAGGGATCGGGGGCGAGGGGAGAAGGAAGGGATCGGGGTCGAGGGGAGAAGGAAGGGATCGGGGTCGAGGGGAGAAGGAAGGGATCGGGGTCGAGGGGAAAAGGAAGGGATCGGGGGCGAGGGGAAAAGGAAGGGATCGGGGTCGAGGGGAAAAGGAAGGGATCGGGGGCGAGGGGAAAAGGAAGGGATCGGGGGCGAGGGGAGAAGGAAGGGATCGGGGGCGAGGGGAGAAGGAAGGGATCGGGGGCGAGGGGAGAAGGAAGGGACTGGGGGAATGCAATCCTGTCCGGGAGATGACCACGACCACACACTGCATCCAGGACTGACGACACACTCCAAAAAAAATGCAGCTAACAGAATAAAGGGTTGGGGGGGATAAACTTATTGAATTTGCAGCAATGAACCTGGAACCCAGTAGGAGCAGGGGGGAGTGAGAAAGAAAGGGAATGGGTTAAGTTTAGGTTTTGGGAACGTTGCTGCTGCAGGCTTGAAGGAAGGTGGGCAGGCCATCTATCCCCTTTCTGCTCCCTGGCAGAGCAACTGGGTCACGGTATCAACATCCATCTCCAACCCCCTACCTCCCCGACTCGATCTGCTCCCCTGACCCCTGGGCCTAGCGTTCAGGCTGCGGGGGAAAAAAACCAATCGAGGTCCGCTGACCTGCGCCCTCCCACCGAAAAACAGATTTTGAAAACAAAAACCATCCTGAACTGTGTGTGTGTGTGTGAGGTGGTGGGGCTGGGATGATCCCAGGCCCTAGTTAGCGCTTAACTAGTACTTAACCAGCCAGGTGATCTGGTTATGGTCAATAATAACCAGCTTCCCCGCGCACACAGCCACCCCGCTCCCTGTACCCGGTCAGAGGATTTATTATTTAAAAACAAGAGGAGGAAGAGGGTTGCTGGTTATGCTAGTTATGTCGCTGGTTAAGGGGGTTAACTAGCGCCCCCCGCGGTTCCCACTCACCGAGCGCCACCGCCGCCTCGAGCTGGAGCCGACATCGAGCGCGAGCCTTCCCG